GATCACCTTAGCCTCTGAAGACCTGATCTACTACAAGCCTACGACCTACGACCCAGACCACGACCTCAGTGTACTGTTACTACGTGTCAATCCCCAGCTTCTGTTAGCAGACCCTACTGTCGGATAGCTGACCGTAACATAATACTTAATATAAATATATATTCTATGATAATAGGGGCTGCTTTAAAAACCTTAAGCTTTTTTAAGAGTTATATAAAGTATCTAAATTTTTAGCTATAATCGCATTAATATGCTGCAAACTTAACCTAGTAGACTAGGAGAAATACGCTAGAGCGGCTAGAATGTTTGAGGAGAAGGATATCCTCGCCAACCAAGCAGAGGAAAATGCCCACGTCGCATACAAAACTCCCTAACGAGAGAGATACATTTAGGGCCAGAACGTGTTCTATCAGGTTTCCGGGAGGCGCTTCATCCGCAACCTGCAAACAGCCGTCGAGTTTACCATGACAGATAAACACATTGAGGGTAATCTTAACCAGAGCACGCAAGAGGAAAAGAAGAGGAAGAATGAACTTACTTCGAAAAGGAAATAGCTGGAGGTGCATTTACGCATGATTGAAAAGCATATTCTAGAGGCTAGCGAAGGCATCGCTAATAATCTCTTTTTGTAATTCCTAGTCGAAATCGCATGCTGCTGCCTCTAACACAATAGGGTAGCTTAGGCCGCTGTTAAACCCGACCAGAACAGCGTCAAGACCTGTGTCAAGCCAATCCTCATCAAGGCAGGGTTGCAAGGCCCGTGACACAGCTTCAATTGCGTTAGATGTCACCAGGCACCCGTCGGGTCTTTAAGTGAAAACTGTCCGGCACGCCTGACACACTCTTTTAAATCTTTCTTTAACCGTCACCGTTTGCTTATAAATATGCCCAGCGCTTTTAGATCTACATACGTCCAAATGAACTCTTCTCACTCGCAGCAGTCATTTCTGCCCGCATTAAAAAGTGCCTAAGCGATCATGCCTGAGGCTATCAATGTATTGCAGAAAAGCCTTTCATGCTCCCAACATGTATCGCTTAGGATTGAAGACCTTTTCTCAGTACGTCACAAGGTCGTCATCGTCACAGGCGGTGGGTCTGGTATTGGGAAGTGTATCGCGCAGGGATTTGCACTCAACGGGTCCCGCGTTTATATTGTTGGCCGACGGTTGGAGGTTCTGCAAGCTGCTGCCAGTGAGATAGGTGGCGACATACACGTACTGCAGGGAGACCTTGGGACTAAGGCTGGTTGCGAGAAAGTGACGGAGCAGTTGGGGGCGCACGAATCTCACGTAAGTTGAAACTTGTTTCGTTCACACCCGCATCAGTTTGGTCCTGTGTCCGTCGCTGTTAACCTGCTTCTCTCGTTCTAGGTTGACACCGTCGTCAACTGCGCTGGATTGATGACCCTCTGGAAGGTTTATGCCAAAGATCCAGATAATGGTAAGCCTACGGGACCCTGACGACATTCACGCTTCACCTTCAGTCCAGGGTAGTGGACAAGGTGAAGATTTCTATGCGAGCTGCAGCTGATTCCATTGCTGGATAGCCAACGAGGTAGAAAGCATGCTGCTCAATGGCATCGATGAGTAAGTGAATGTATCCTGGAGGATCAAGAATGTAGTGCGCTGACTGTACAAATACAGTGAAGATTTCGATGCTGCAAATCACAGTAAGCTCCCATGAATAACTTAGGACACATGTAGGGTTTACGTGACGACGGTTTCAGTTAATGTCCGCGGGGTCTACTTCATGACGACATGTTTGGTTCCGTTGCTACGGAAAGCTGCTACTCCAAACGTCTTGATCATATCGTCTTTGGCCGCTTTGACAAACCAAACGTCTGTGACATCAGTGGCGTACGATCTCTCAAAGGCTGCCGGTACGTTCCTAGAAGCACCTCCCTCTTATCACCCTCCGCCAATTGGAATTGGTCTAACTTACTGAAACAAAACATTTGACACAGAAACCAAACTTGCCCTGTTGTTGTCATCCGGCCTTCGCCCGTAAGTGTGATTCGCCTTCAGGCACCCCTACGAGTTTTGGAATCTGCACATCCCTCTTGACGAAAATTTTTGACGCAGTATTAACTCGTATCCTCATAGAATGAAGATTCGCGTGAACACAATTTGCCCCGGGATATTTCCTTCAGAGATGACGACCTTGGAATCTCACGAGCGTAAATCGCCAGTCCTCGCCGCGGACACAGACCAAGTCGGGTGGGGTCTGCATCCCGTCGCAGAGAAGACAACACTGCGATCAACCGCTGGACGCCCGGGCCGCCCCGAGGAGATGGTAGGGCCGGTCTTGATGCTCTCAAGCGCGGCTGGTGCATATATGAACGGTGCTCGGCTCGTTATCGATGGCGGACTTCTTGTCAATGCCTTGAGCTGACTATTGAGGCTGGAATCATGCGTATGAGTAAAAATGATTTTCTCAGTTATCTGCGGAGGTTTCATTATCATTATCTTAGGAGGAATAGATTCTTTTCGGAAATTGCTCGCTAGAGTCCAAATCGGAGGTTTTCCTTTGTAGCACGCCAAATTACCCGATCGGGGCATGACGATTTCTAGCAGCCGGGCAGCAGATCAGCGAAAGTTATCGTTCTTTCTTTTGTTTGATGAAATAAGTTTCTCTCTTCCGTCCTTTGCTATCAAAGATAGCTTATAGGGATTACTCTTTGTTACTTCCTCTCACGCATAACACTGACTGGTGTTTGTTTCATAAGTCAAAGAACTGTCGTGCACTATGGAAAACGTTTCGTGTCCCATCCCCCAAAGAGGTGCTGTGCATTCCGTCTGGGCAACTATATCAGCTCAATCACCAATAACCCTACTTCATGCGTTACCTATTTGGCCGTACATGGCCTGCGTTACTGTTGTAATTTGGCTGGTGGTGACGCGATTGAGTGCGGGTACAGCCAAGTGGGATTGGAAGTTTGACTGCCCCGAGGTCCCAAGAGACGGACCGAATCTTGGAACTACTCTTAGAAAAGGTCTTTTACAGGTGCGTCTTTGTATCATTGCGGCTCGTTCGGGTGGTATCGTCGATAACACGCAGAAGTACCCCGACGAGCCGTTCAAGGTTATGACGGCAGATGGCTTCGTTGTCTTCTTGCCCGCCCATCATATTCAGGAACTTTGTATGCACCCCAGAACCGAGGTTTCCTTTGGCCACATGGTTTTGCAGTACTTCTCGTCATGGGCCACGGGCTTCGGTGTGAATAACGATACTTTTCTCCGAGGCACCAAGCTGGGGCTCCTATCAACCGGTTCCCGCTTTATTGTGCCCATGATAGATGAGACAACAGCGGCCTGCTCTCGATTATTTGATGGTCGAGATCGAGTGTACAGTAATCCTGATGACGAGGGATGGACGTCAGTCAATGTCAGCTACGCCGCCGGGCAGCTTACAGCACAAATTATGGCTCGTGCATTTGTGGGCAAGTCGCTTTCTCGAGACCAGTACTGGGTCGACGGTCAAGTATCCTACTTGGCCTACGTATGGGCGGCGGCTCGGGGTATTCAACAATGGCCGAAGTGGGCGCAGCCGCTGGTATACCGCTTTGTCAAGGGCTACAGAGACTTACGGAACGAAGAGAGACGGCTCGCAGACCGTCTGAGGACCGAGTTTGAAGTGGCTAGACTAGGGAATGATCGCAGTGAAGCGGGCAAGATCCGGGAGCGGACCATGATCGACGACTTTCTGACCGTGACAGACCCAGATAAACAAGACGATATCGTGTTTCACATGACACTACAATACCAGCTAATTTTTACCGCCATACATCCAACTTCAGAAACTGTATGTTCTTCCTGTCTCGATTGCATGATTTCAAGCTCAGTTACTAATGTGGTGCTGTGGTGGTCCAGTTGTGGCAGGTCCTTTATGACATTGCACTCTACCCCGAGTACCAGGAGATTCTAAGAAACGAACTCAAGGAGGTCGATCGAACAGATGAAAGAAGCTGGCTCTCTCAGATTCCGAAAATGGACAGTTTTATGAAGGAATCCCAGCGGCTCCACGCCGCTTCCCTCGGTAAGATGTACACGTCTTTTCCAGAGGGAGAGAGAATACTTCTCTAACTACCTTCCCGTCCTCAGTAACTTTGACCAGAAAGGTTCTTAAACCGATGACTACTTCGTCGGGGCTTCATTTCCCAGCCGGGTCTCAAATCTCATATATGACGGACGCCGTGAATCTCGACCCTAATAGATGGTCGGATCCTGAAAAGTTCGATGGTCTAAGATTTTACAACATGAAAATGGATGTTGAAACCGGATCTCAGCAGGTAACGCTGAGCTACTCGTACTCAGGGTTGTAACATTTCCTTGCCTGTCCGCATCCTTTTCCAGGCCTTGGTGAAAATAAATGGCTAACAGCGCTTTTTCTCACAATAGCCCGGGACAGTTGAACTTTGGCTACGGCGTGCAGGCGTGTTGCGGACGTCACTATGCAGGATGGCTCATCAAGATGATCCTTGCCGAGCTGGTTACTATGTTCGATCTGAAACTGGCGGAGGGTCCTGGGGAGGAGGAAGGCATGAGATGTTTTACCATCAGAAGCCAGAGGATTGGTAATCCAAAGGCCGAGATTTTAGCACGCAGACGACACGCAGATGTGGACAGGCAAGGTTAGCTCTGGTGCCAATTGGCTATTGTAAAATCTGCACGTGGGATTACGCCATGAGTTACTGCTGACCCGATGTAAGTTGGGTGTGTAGCTGTCATTCGGGTGGTTTACCGTTCGGGTGATTTGTCTTAGGGCCATAGTTCCAGTATGACGGCAACGTCCTCGTGGTGTGCGTCGACACCAGGCTTTGTACATCTAAGGGGACAACAAAATCAAAAGACGTTACTTTGTATCGTAGACCAGATTCACCCTCCGCGTGGCACACTCTCAGATACAATTTGGCTACTTCAAATCAACGTGAACAATGTCTACTACAACATCGACAGAGAAAAGAGATCAATGCTGCACAAAGACGACTTGCATCGATGAGTCCCCTATCTTACCAATAGGCAGGTCAGACGTCGAAAACAATGACGCCAAGAGTCTTAAAGACATGAATATGTCAGAGATAAGAACCCACAAAGAGGGAGGCAAGTGGGCGTCAAACACGGTGACGATTACCGCCTTAACTTTAGGTCTATGCCTGGTATCCTTTGCGGCAGCGGTGGACAACACAATCCTCGGTATATCTCACTAGAACCATTGTGTAAAAAGCAATTGATATGTAAATCAACTTGTCTTTCAAACCCCAATGAGATGTCCAACAAAGATCCGATCTGACGCCGAGATGCATACACATAGGAACGGCCATACCGCGCATAACGACAGAGTTCGACTCGCTTCAAGATGCCGGACTTTACCGTAGTGCATCTCTAGTCGCTTCGACGGCGCTTCAATTGCCGTACGGCAAAGCATACGCCCAATTCAATGTCAAGTGGATCTATCTCGGCAGCCTGGTCGTCTTCGAAGCAGGGTCTGTCCTCTGTGCCGTTGCTCCCAACTCGGGGACCCTCATCGCCGGACGTGTTGTCTCGGGCGTGGGTGCGGCAGCGCTTTACTCAGGCGCCATCAACATGGTTGCGATGACGGTAAGCCCGCAGAGGGCCCCGGCACTTTTTGGTATCGTATCTGGTATGGTCGGTCTGGCGTCTCTGGTTGGTCCGCCCTTGGGGGGTGCCTTCACCGATGCACCGAAACTGACTTGGCGATGGTGCTTCTGGATAAACGTGCCGCTCGGCGGCGTCGCCGCCATATTCATTTCGGCCGTGTTTCGACCTCCTCAAAGACAGTCGTCGCTTCCGGCTCAGCCAGACACAGAAATGCAGACAGTTGGCGATGCAGATGAAGGATATGAAGGCAAACGCACACCAACGAGTGCCCCTCCTGGCTCATTAAACAACCGGGGCTTGACACCAGCCTCATCTGCAGTCCTCCCCATGATAAGGCGAATGCAGAAGATGGATCCGTTGGGCACCGCTCTCCTTGTCCCGGCCATGGTCAGCCTGCTTCTGGCCCTCCAATGGGGCGGGACAAAGTACAACTGGTCGGACGGGCGGGTCTGGGGCTGCCTGGTCTGTTCGGCCGTTCTCACGGGCGCCTTCGTCGTCTCATTGCGGTTCAACGGCGATGACGCCATGATCCCTCCCCGTCTTCTCCGCGATCGCGCGGTCGTGGGCGGCATGCTGCTAATAACTTGGCTTTCGGCGGCCATGTTCACCCACGTCTTCTTCCTGCCATTCTACTTCCAAGTCGTCCAGGGCATGAGCGCCACGGCCTCGGGCCTACGCACCCTCGCCTATGTTGGGGCTATGGCCTTGGCCGGGGTGGGCGCCGGCGGCGCCATGTCTTCCCGGAGCAGCGACGGCGGTGTCGGCTTGTCAGACCATAGGCCGTACGCCTGGGTCGGCGCCGGCCTCTTTGTCATCGGAGCGGGCTTGATGCACATGCTGACCGTCAGCTCAGGATTGGGCATGGTGGTGGGCTTTCAGTTGCTGTCAGGTGCCGCGCTGGGTGTCGTCTGGCAGGTTCCCTATGTCGCCGTTCAGCGGTCAGAGAAAATCGGCAAACGACAGGATGACCGTGCCATCGCGAACGCGCTCATTGCCTTCTCTAACTCCCTGGGTGCGGCCTTAGGCATCTCTATCGCGCAGACCATATTTGCAACAACACTCGCTAAGGGGCTTGCGGGCCTCCCGGGGTTAGATCCTAGCCATGCGGATGCTCTGGCAAAGGCCGGCCAGGCTGCCCAACTGGGTTCTCTTTCCCCAGAGCTTCTCGCTGCTGTGTTGCAAATCTTTAACCACGCCATTACATCCACCTTTAATTTTGCTGCGACTGCTGCAGGAGTTGCCTTCTTATGTTGTTTCATATTCCCTTAGCGGTTTACCTCTTGGATTGTATTTCGGTATTGTTATTTATACATATTACTGGACAGTGAAGACCGGGCTTTGAAGGGATGCGACCCCACGACCCTCAATATAAGCAAGGCCTCGTAAATGAGACATTACAGTTGGCTATCTAGTAGTGTGTATTATGGTTAGCTATAATGTTAACTTCTCCAAACAGAAGCTGGAGAATTACGCTCCACTGAAAGTACCCTAGACTCTAGTGCATAACCAAGGTCCATTTGCCGCCGGAGGGAGGCACAGCCTCAAGACTCGGTCGGGTTAGATGACAGTCCTATGCAAACGTTGCTTCGCTTCGGACGGTTCCCTTGGACTGGATGTTGTGGTTTCTGGGTTGCCAGACACGGCAAAACTCTCAGCGGGATAATTAAGGCCCGTGACAAGCCATGGTCTGATTGTGAAGGGTCAAATCTCGTAAACCTTTGGTCGTTGATTGCCAATAGATCATTTAATTCTCCAAGTAGACATGTCATCGCTGTGAGTGGCCGTATTGGTGCATTGGCGCGCGATCACGTTCCCTACGAAACTCACTCGAATGCCCAGAGTTGACATTTGTTTGAATTTGGCTGTTTACACCGCGATCGGAATTAATTTTCATATCCTTCACGTCTAAGGTATCTAGCAACAACAAATTACAACCCAAGAACCCAGGCAGCTCATCCGAAAGACTCAACACGATCCTTGGTCCCGCTTCTTCAAATGACAAATCAAGCCCCTCTGCCTCGGGAACCAACTACCCGTGACTTTCCAAGGGCGGTTGAGATCGACGAGTGAGATTTCATACCTGCGGATCAATGTTGCCACAATCTTGTAAACTTCTAGATGAGCGAGATTTCTCCCAATACAGACTCGCGACCCACCACCAAAGGTCAAGTCCGACGCGTTGTACAAACGTAGTCTTGTCTTATAGGCTGCGTCGCTCTCATCTTCATTCTGCAACCAGCGCTCTGGCCGGTAGGTATTCGCATCGTCGCCCCAGATACTTTTGTTTCTACCAATAACATAGGGATTTATACCAACAGCTACGTTCGCCGGAACGTGGGTGCCATCCGGAAGGTCCAGGCCGCCGTCAGGCACATACCGCTCAAGTAACATGCAGACCCCAGGGTGCATTCGCATGGCCTCGCGAATGACGGCTTCGAGGTCTGCAAAATGTTCATTAGCTTTGGCTCATGTATAAAGCTGTAAGCGGTTTACTGACATGGTAGCGCGCGTGCTGAGCTGTACGAAGCAACATCAGACAGCTCTCCTGAGAGAATCTCTTGTTCCAAGCGTCGGTAAACGAGGGGTTGATGAAGCGCGTGCCAAAAGATTGCTCGAATGGTGATCGCAGTTGTGTCAGCGCCGGCGAGCAAGTTGACGAGGAGGTACCCCATGATGATGCCATCGTTTACAAGTTCAGGATGGGCCTGCTTAGATTCAATGAAGTGCTGCAGGAAGTCGGGAACGTTGGGGTCGTAATTAGGATCTTTGCCTTGGAGGCGAGATACTAGGTGTTCGAGAGAAATGCGTGTAATGTTTGCTAGGTTCGGAGGGCCGATTCTCATAACAGGATTCTTGTCGAGAAGGAAGTCCAGAAACGGCATTTGCCCCACAGCAGCGAAGCTATTCACAAGTCAGTGTCTTGATTGTTGCCAAAACACATTCAACGCACTAGTCAAGAGCTTTGTCGGCAATGGAAATTGTGCCGTCATAATCGCATCCCTCGTCCATGTAGCCAAATCGCTGGCTAAAAGAAGCAGCGCCATTCGCATCCCAAGAGTCTACTTTGTCTTAGCTCGAGTACTGCCACGCCAATCGAGTCAACTTACAAAACCCGATCCACTCGCCAAGATCACACGCTGTCGGCTTGGAGGTGGTCATGAATCGCTTTTCCAAGTGGTGACAAAAGTCACCGATCAAGGTATCAAATAGTGGCTCGATTCCCATGACGCTACTCTGGGAGTAGTACTTGACAATTGGACGCTTCATCCGTGCATGCTCAGCTTGGTCTGTGGTACTGAACAGGTGGTAGGTAACTCTGCCGTCGATGATAGCGCTGTTGTTGTGGTAGAACTCGGTCTTGCTCATGGTGTGAGCCAGAATGTTTGCCGGAAGCGGTAGGGGAACAACGCGTACCTTCTTCCATTTCCCATCCGTACCATAGAGGGTCTTGATGAGCTCTGGAAAGTCAAGGTCCAGAGTATTTGGGCCGATGCGAACAACGGCTCCATACTTGTCGTGAAGCTCTTTGATCTTGACATGATAACTTCCTGTTCGAACAACAGATAGTCGCCACAAATTTGTCCAGGCTGTGCGTGTTAAGAAACATTCGCGATAACTGATAATTGATGATATACGTACCGGCTAAACCTGGCCCAGGATATTGTCTGAGGGGGGAGGTGAAGTAGGCAGTCACCCACCACCCTGCGATGGCCAATATGGGAGCAACGACAATGGCAACGGCAAGGGCCGTCCCGTCCCAAGGTCGAAAAAGCCCAGCGGGGTAATTCAAGTAAGTCACGCCCATGTTTGTTTTTCCAACAAAACAGCGGGCGAAAGTAATATGAGTTCCGGTAACTTCAAGCGTCCTCAATGCTGAGTCTTCAGTGCCGAGAAAAAGTTGTGGTTTACATGTCCTAGGGTGAGAAATCATTGGTCTTTTTAATAATTTATTGAAACAGTGCAATTGTTGACAGTGATTGACGTGAGCCTGATTGGTCGCCCGCTTGGCAAGGCAAGGATGAGATAATGGTGGGTCTACGTCGATGCGTTGGAACTTCTGTTCCCTTCCTCTGCCCTGGGGGCTGAAATCAGCCTCCGCTTAGATGTTGCCCTATGTTGGGACGGGGGTAGACTGGTAAACCGTTTAACCGCAGTCGCAAGCAAACTGCGATATATATACTCAATTCGGTAACGCGAGTCCGAGATCTCCATATTTTTGCATGCACGTTAGGCATTCGAAGGGTTTCACTGCAAGATCAGCAGCTGAAAGACCAATTATTATTCGCTGTGCTTGCGGGCTAGGGCCGCATCTCGTACTTGGAATCTTACCGTTCGTTGGTATTCGACAATGAAAGTTGTGTAATTGGCTGAACCCCCACCCCCTAGAGATGGCGAGCAAGTCAGCCCGGGGTTTTTCGAATGCCTGTCAATTAGCAGGAGCCACTGCTATGTTTTAGGCAAACGCAACGGTATGGAGCAAGTCCGAGAAGACTAGCATCGCGCTTTAGGTCATTCGAGGAGGCTATGGCGATCATCTCGCCGAGCTCTGAGGGACCGTCAAGACTCATTCAATCTCGAAACATGCCTGCTAACGGTTCATCAAATCCGCTTCCCTTCACTGCCACTTGAAAGCGAAACTGGTCTGACATAATCCTGGCGACGGATGATTTCGACAAGACTTTATTTGGAGGCTCGCCAACAGCGGATGTCGCAATGTTTCTACCTCTCTCGATCATATCCAAATATTCTTTGACGTCTCCAATACCAACCCTCTCCCAATCAGCGCTCAGTAGCCACGAAGAAATCGACGACTACTCTTCTCGTAGAAACCCGGTCAAGCGTGACAAAAATGCCGTTGGGGGGTTCCGGTCCTTGGACTATTGCAACTATGTGGTCTTTGACTGCATTGACGTTGGCCTTCGTGATTCTACGCACGTACACACGAGTGGTAATTGTCGAGGCTTACGGGGTAGACGACCATGTTTACAACCTCGCTTTTGTATGGTGCCTTTACGTCCGAATCTTGCCCATTCGTGCTGACATGCGTTACAGGCGTTTCTCGTATTCTACACCATATTCACAACCATATCAGCAACTTATGGCTTTGGTCAAAGTATAGACGACATATCTGATCCCGACAGCATTGTTGATGCGATTCTTTTCGAAGCGATAGGACAAACGTTTGCTGTCGTCGGCATGGCTATCGCAAAGTGGTCGTTGGGCCTGTTTCTTCTCCGCTTAGTAAACAAAGTATGGCACAAGATCGCAATTTGGATATCGATGGGCCTTCTCATGGGTGCATCCATCTCAACTTGCTTCGTTTTCTGGTTGCAGTGTACACCACCGCGGTATTGATGGGACCGTCGGATACCCGGAGGATACTGTCAGATTGACTCAACACCAGTTTCAATGCTCCTTTGTAGTAAGTCTTACTGGGGCAAACGTTCTTTCGGAGCGGCTTGTTGACGATATTCAGTCCTATGCGTCGTCGTCGACTTCTTTTATGCGGTATTCCCGTGGAGCTTCATATGGGGTTTGCAGATGAACACACGCGAAAAGATTGTCATTTTGGCTAGTCTTAGCCTTGGAGTATTGTGAGAGAACCATTCCTGTAAGACGCCTTGTCTAATCATGCTTCAGCGCCGGCGCATGTGGAATCAAGCGAACGATCGAAGTGCCTGCACTTTCAAGTTCCGACTACCTGAGTAGATTCTCCTTGCCACCTCCCTTCGCTACCGCGCTGCAGCAGCTACTAAAGGGTTGCAGAGGACACCGTGGGCCTTATTGTTTGGTCAGCTGCTGAGATAGCAGTCACAATGATCTGCATCGGCATCCCCGTCTGCCGGCCGCTTTACAAGCAGTAGTTGGACAGATTGACCTCGTCAGATACCGGTCAATACCATGAACGCAGTCACGGCGGCTCATACGGTTTGAGAACATTCGGTGGGACAAGTATGCGACCTGGACTGGGCAGGGACGAGGGGTCGGATGGGGTCGGCTCCATCACAAAGGCGGAACGAAAGACTGGGCGTGGCGGTCGTTTTTCGAGACCTTCCTCCGTGGGCTCAAAGCCTGTGAGTGGGGACAATCAGAGTGACGAGGAGATCCTAGGCCCAGAGTTCCAACGAGGTTAAATGACCGCATAACACCCAAAAGACGGGAACACGGCTGTTAACGGGCGGCCTCATTTCTCCCATGCAACACTCGAATCGATGCTCTCTATCTTCCACAGCAAACATAAATTGATGTATTTTGGGGAGTCTGGCAAGCATTGCTCATCTTGTGCTCATGGTGGGGTCTTATCGCATGCCTGTTCTCTGGCCTTACCTCGGACTGTGGAACGCCGGAGAGGACAAGGGTCCATACGGAACCCCGGGTTGCGCCCCGACCCTAGAACATCAAGAATTCCGTCGCCCCAGTGCCGTATGTCACATCTCGCAAAAAGATAAGAGGGGAATGGCGGGGAAGCAATCAGTGAATCCCCGAAATGCCCCATTCGCTTGCGCAAGGAATGGGTTGGATCACGCTTAGTCCACACGTTGTTACCTGCGCTACCTTGACCGCACTGCAGAGCATTTTCCAAAGACAGTCGATGATTTCGCGATATTTTTAAATTGTTTCCACACATGCCGAGGGCCTGTTACTGCGGAACTTGAGAAAGGCTCACATTTGGTGTGTCACCTGTTTTGCTGTCTTTCTAAGTCTTCACGGTCGGCGACAACACTTTGCCTGTGAAAATTTGTTTGGGCCGCCAAAGTGCGGGGCCTCTCTCCAGCATTGCCTCCCGCCAGTGCGCTAGTACACCTGCCGCACGTGAGAGACTAGCCATGGCGACAATAATATCGGTCTCAAAGCCCATGGCAGTATACAGGAAGCACCCGTACAAGTCGGCGTTTGCTTTGAGGTTGCGGCTGGTAAAGTACTCGTCATCGTTTGCGACCCGGTCGATCTCCAATGCGACGGCCAGCATTGGATTCGACTCTACCTTATCCCTGTGCTGGTCGATCATCCGGTGGATGAGCTTTACGCGGGGGTCGACGGTTTTGTATATGCGATGCCCATATCCATAGAGACGTTGTTTGTTCGTTTTCACGGCCGTGATGAGACTGTACACCTCGTTGGGTGTTTTGATCTTTTCGAACGTCTTGTATGCCAGATCGATGGCGCCGCCGTGCAGTGGTCCATATCCGGAAACAATTGCCGAAATGCAACATGATAAAGGGTCCGTTAAAGTCGAAGCCGCGTGCAAGAATGCGGCTGTTGAGTTGGTCATTTCGTGGTCGGCGTAGAGAATCCATAGCTTTTCTAAGCACCTCTGGATCCCCACGTCAGGCAGAGCACTGCTTCGTTTGTCTCGGAACCCCATCATGCGCACGACATTCGCAACGAAGGAGTCGCTAGGGTGAGCTGGCGTTAGGTTTTTGCCTCGTTTGTGACAATAAACGAGTGCAACGACGGTAGCTAGCGCTGACATGCATCTAATAATGGCCGCGTCAACCTGGCCCGCACGTCCTAAGTAAGCCGGCCTAGCAGAACCCATTATGCTGATGGCCCCTTCATCCTGGCTTGCATAAGCCGCAATGCCAGCAATCATCATCGTGCTGGTTGACGAATCTCTTGAGAAAGAGGCAATGGTCTGAACCACATGTTCCGGCGGAACGCAGCTTGCTGCAAGCTTCCGTTGAAAATGCTCTTTCTCTGGTTTGTCGGGTAACTTCCCCCAGATAAGTAGGTAAATTACTTCCTCATAGTCATGGTTCTCAAAAAGATACTCAATGGAAAACTGGCGGTATTGGATGTAGCCCCGCTGACCATCGATGAAGGTGATATTTGACTTGATGCAGGCCGTGTTGAGATACCCAGGGTCAAAAACCCGCAAACCAGACTGGCTCTGATGAGAAGGGTCAACAATGCGCCCAACATCCACGGCATCGATAGCGTTCTGAGTGATGGGAATCAGATACTGGAGATCTGTGCGATTATCTCTGACCGTCAGCGTGCCAGATGATATGTCGGTGATGGGCTGCAAGAAATGTCCGGGAAGTTGTAGTAAAGTCCATGTATTGTTTCCGAGACGTGATAGGATGTGTAGTCCAGCAGTCGCAACACTGAGAGACTGCATGGCTACTTGACGGACACAGAGAAAAACCATTGTGGTTATCACCCTGCCAACGTACCAAGCAAAATCCAAGTAACCAGAGATGTTCTTGCCCATTCTGAAGGCAATGCCCAGTATCTGCAAAAGGTACGACAGCAAGCATATCGTGAGAGTTCTGGATGCCATGATCGCTCATGTTCGATATCAATGAATTGAAAGAAAGAAAGTTGTACCTTGAATAGTTCCGGGATGCAATCCAGTGCACCTG